AGGCTGGAGATAGATAGATAGATAGATAGATAGATAGATAGATAGATAGATAGATAGATAGATACACTAACTGTACCTGTCATGCGTTGCTGTGGCCAACCTTCCCTCTCTTTGAACAAAATCTGGCTACCAGTATTAAAAAAAAAACTTTAAAATTGCAACAGCACAACAACAGAGAGGAAACAAACAAGGACATCTAATCACCTCTCAACAAAAGTTTGCTCTAGGCACTGTCAGGCCATTATATGCTAATCAAGGTGGTCAGTTGAAACATTGTATGACCGTATTATGCTCTTTCCAAGGATGTTATACAGGCCGTGTTATTGGGTCCTGAGGCATTCAAATGCAGCCATGAAGTGGATTGCTTGCTCACAAGTGGATGATAAGGAGTCCCTGCACTTTCCTTTTCAACTAAGCCGCCCAGGCGCTGAGCTCCCAGCAAGAAATGGGCGATAGGAGCGGCCGACCGCTGATATTTTTAGCCAGGAAAGAGGAGACGGGGCTGGGAATTTGGAATTTGGAAGGGTGAGATATCCCTTGGAACGGCACAACTCAGCGGGGTCCAAATGCTTCGAATTCTGCAAGGAGATGAGAGTTTCAGGCTGGATCTGCATTATATGGCCAGGGGAGCAGACCCATGCCATGCTGTTCAGTGCAAATCATAGGCATGATAGGGTTCTGCACTGACCGTATAGTGCAATTCCAAACTGCACCTATATAAATAAAAATGTAATGTTCGTTTGTGGGATTAACAGAACTCAAAAACCACTGGATGAATTGACACCAAATTTGGACACAAGACACCTAACAACCCAATGTATGTCCTTCACTCAAAAAAAATGATTTTGTCATTTGGGAAGTTGTAGTTGCTGGGATTTATAGTTCACCTATAATAAAAGAGCATTCTGAACTCCACCAATGATGGAATTGAACCAAACTTGACACACAGAACTCCCATGACCAACAGAAAACACTAGAAGGGTTTGGTGGGCATTGACCTTGAGTTTGGGAGTTGTCGTTCACCTACATCCAGAGAGCACTGTGGACTCAAACAATGATGGATCTGGACCAAACTTGGCATGAATATTCCAAATGCCCAAATATGCACACAGATGGAGTTTGTGGGAAATAGACCTTGACATTTGGGAGTTGTAGTTACTGGGATTTATAGTTCACCTACAATCAAAGACAATCTGAACTCCACCAATGATGGAATTGAATCAAACGTGGCGCACAGAACCCCAATACTTAAGGCCATCTAGTCCAACTCCCTTCACCAGAGCAAGAAAATGTAATCAAAGCCCTCCTGACAAAGAGCCATCCAGCCATAGATATAGATAGATATATATGATTCACACAGAGAGATATAGTATCATAGATTTGAAAGGGACTCCTAAAGAAGGACAATGATATGTTGCATGTTCCAGAGTAGGCAAACCAGACAATCTCCACATCAACACTGACAAAGAAACAGCAAGAAATAATGTTTACCCATAAGCAGAAAGAAATTGCATATATTAGAAACCAACACTTTCTCATTACTTTCTTTTCCAGATCACCAGACTGGGCCACAGCAACACCTGGCAGTGGACGGCTAGTTTTATATAATAGGTAAAGGTTTTCCCCTGACATTAAATCCAGTCGTGTCCGACTCGCGGGGTTGGTGCTCATCTCCATTTCTAAGCCGAAGAGCCAATGTTGTCCGGAGACACCTCCAAGGTCATGTGGCCATAGGCATGACTGCATGGAGGTTCGAATCTGGGGAGCGGCATGAGCTCCCACGGTTAGACCCAGCTTCTGCCAACCTAGTAGTTTGAAAACATGCAAATATGAGTAGAACAATAGGTACCACTTCTGTGGGAAGGTAATGGTACTCCATGCAGTCATGGGATGCTTACGTTTGAATCTGCATGCTCAAAGCCCTGGTTTACCAATATACGTACATAGCCCGACACTCAAATCATTGCCTCTCCTAGGATTTTCATGTCTGGCTTTTTTACTAACCAAGTTGGAACCCCCGGTGGCGCAGTGTGTGGCAGGACTGAAGACCGACAGGTCGCAGATTCGAATCCAGGGAGAGGCGGATGAGCTCCCTCTATCAGCTCCAGCTCCTCATGCGGGGACATGAGAGAAGCTCCCACAAGGATGTAAAACTTCAAATCATCCAGGCGTCCCCTGGACAACATCCTTGCAGACGGCCAATTCTCTCACACCAGAAGCAACTTGCAGTTTCTCAAGTCGGTCTTGACACACACACACACACACAAAACCAACCAAGTTGGCCATTGCCTTTGTCTGAATTTGATAGGATTCGAACCCTGCTCCTCCAAGGTCCCAATGTACTCTGCCACATTGTATTTCTCCCAAAGAGGAGAAAGCAGTGTTTAAGGGTACGTGTTGATGTTACTGTCTTCGTGTTTGCACAACACAAAAGATAAGAAACTATGTTAACTTTGGAAAAAACTGAAAATTAGACTTTGGGAGGTTCCTTTTTGGCCTGGAATATAGTCTTGCAGGATACAGCTTTCTGTGAATTGCAATCCAATCCAACACCGAGGCGATTTCCTAAGCCATGTAATATCCTTTTGGACTTTGTGGCTACCAGGCTTTCTGCCGGCCTCATTTGCAGTCCGAATGCGCCCCTTCTTGGCATGGCATCTTTCCCAAAGAACTCCACGTTTGCCTCTCTTCTGGGGCACCTTCTCTGCACGGCTCCTTTTCCAGAGAATTGCCTTTTTTGGTTCTAACTTTGGGCACCTTCTACTTTTTCTAGAAAATTGCAATTTCGAATTTTACTTTGGGCACTTTCTTGGAATTGCTTCTTTCCCACAGAATGGTATTTTTGCTTCTAACTTTAGGCACCTTGTGTATGGTTCTTCCAACTTTAGGACTCTATGAGTCTCTGATTCAATGACCTTCTTGGCATTGACTCTTTTCCAGAAAATTGCGATTTCGCCTCTAACTATGGGCACCTTCTTGGCACAGCTTCTTTCCAATGAACTGCATCCTTGCACCTAACTTTGGGCACTTTTCTTGGCTCTGCTTCTTTCCAATGAACTGCATCCTTGCACCTAACTTTGGGCACTTTTCTTGGCTCGGCTTGTTTTCTTGACGATGACATTTTTGAATCTAACTTTGGGCACCTTCTTGACATGGCCTGTTTTCCAGAGAATTGCAATTTTGCCTCTAACTTGGAGCATGGTAACAGGTTGGACTGGATGGCCTTTATGCTCTCTTATGATTCTATGACTTTCTTGGCCTTATCTCTTTTCCAAATAATTGCATCTTTGTGCCTAACTTTGGGCACCTTCCGAGTGCAGAAAATTCCCAGAAAATTGCATGTTTACCTCTTACTTAGGGCACCTTTGTGACACAATCTATTTTCCAAAGGATTGCATTTTTGCACCTAACTTTGGGCATAATTAGAAGTAGCCTGGGTGGCCTCTTGTGGTCTCTTCCAATTCTAGGATTCTATCATTTCTCAGCAAGATCTCTTTCCTACAGAATTACATTTTTGCATATAACTTTGGGCATTTTCTTGGCACAGCCTGTCTTCGAGAAAATGGCATTTTTTCCCCATGGCAGGAAGGGGGTTAGGCTGGGCAACTCCGTGATTTATGATCCTGTGACCTTATTTTCTAAAAAGTTTCATTTTTGGAAAATTGCATGATTGCATCTAACTTTGGGCATCTTTTTGGCATGGCCTTTTCCCTAAAGAATGGCACATTTGGGTCTAAATGTGGGCACCTCCTAGGCATGGCCTTCTCCTTAAATAATTACACTTTTGCATCTATCTTTGGGCACCTTTCTTGATGTCGCTGTTTCCCTAATTACACTTTTGCATCTACCTTTGGGCACCTTCTTGGCATGGCCATTTCTCTAACTACACTTTTGCATCTACCTTTGGGCACCTTC